ACATACATACACACACACACATACATACATACATACATACATACATACATACATACATACATGCACACACACATATGTATGTATGTATGTATGTATGTATGTATGTATGTATGTATGTATGTATATGCCAGCAGGTTAGCAAAGCACTACAGGTTGATACAAGACGATATGGATAAGCGAACGTATTGACATAAGAGTATGAGATTGCAATACCATACCACTCGTCGTGCTGCTACAATATTAAGATACAAGACATACGAACTTCTAAACCTGTGAGGAATAAGCAACGCAACATCTGACTACACCGTCTGATGATGAACGATACTATATCCACAGATCAATATTAATATAAACTTGTATTGTTGATGCCAACTGAATACACAAAAACAGCGTCATTATTAGAAAGTAGAAAATGGTGCTGCTTGGTAGCAATATAGCGATACCGTAATGCATATATGGCAGCAATACAGTAATCTCGTCGTATAGCCATGCAGGAACATGTAGCAATATCACAATACAGTAAGAGGGAAGAGCCACCACAGGGGCACAACACCAGCTTGGGACAGACCGTAGTTTTAGAGGTTAAAGCGTGTAACCGCAACTGGTTCGCTTCCCTCCCGTCCTTTCAAAACAGCTTTATGCCGTGTGACTCACCGTAAATTCCAAACATTCGCAGAACAGATCAAGGCAAGATTAACATGGCAGTTCAATGTCGTCAGGCGTCCCTAAGCCTACAGCTTCCAACATTAATTTGCAAGAACAGCGGACTTTCCTTAAGCCTCAGCCTTGGCTACAGCCGGATGCAGGCGCAAGCGCCGTCTCTGGTCCCACCCCGTGTTGTGGCTCCGCCATCCCGGCCACAGGCCGATAATGAGGCTGATGAAAGCATGGATGGATGTAGGGTATGGGTGAGTCATGATGGTGGCCATGCTGCTAATACTGGTGGTGGCTGAAACCCTTTCAAGGCCAAGTCAAGCATAGGGCATAGGGGGCCCTGTCACCAGTATGCTTAGGCTGAGAAGTTGAAGGCTCCAAAGCAAGGGACCCTGGGAGTTTATAGCCTCTGCACCAGCGTCTCCTTTCGGGGATGTTTAGGTTTCGGGTTCGGGTGTGAGGGTTTAGGCTTTATGTTTCAGGGGCGGGGTGTCATTCGGCTCGGGTTGCATCTGGGTTCTTGCTACCGGGGTTGATCCTGTGAGGGAGCCAGAATATGAGAAGCCACACGAAATCCACAGTAGTAAGCATTTACGAAGACTACCGAAGCGCCTTCTATGGGGTCAATGCTTGGAACTTGTTGTTCTGAAGCTATGCCCGTAGGATTCGAAGGATTGGGCCTTCCCTTTGATGTCCGCAAGCCGGACATCGACCCGAAGTAACCATGAAAACGGAAAGAGACGTAGCCATTCAGGACCATGTTGGAACCTAAGCACACAAACGTAATGAATCGATCGAACGTCATTTACCTGGTATTGAGATATGCTTCCTGGAAAGTTTCTCATCGCATCATCTCTGCTGTTGGCTTTTGTGTGGGTTTTGAGGCCTAACAATCCCCAGCCGAAAGCTTCAGACTTGAAGCCAAGGTCTTGCCCACAAACCCCAGCACTCCCGAAGCTGTAGTAAGCCTTCCCAGGAACTCTGGACCCCAAAACCTTGCATCCAGTGCAGTGCACGTCAGGGACCGGTCGTCCCTGGCATGAGAAGACTACAACAGGCGCCAATCTTCGAGGATTGTTTGTGGTTTTGCGGCTTTGGAGCCTCCGATTCGTGTTGAGTGCAGTTCAGAGGGTGTCGGTGTAGCGGGTTTCAATGGCGCAAGCTGGGTTTGTGGTATGGAATAAAGATGCTTTAGGCAACGGAGCAGGCCCCATAGCGCTAACGCAAGTGTCGTTGAAGCTCTGGGCCCTGGAAACATTGGACTAACCACCGTCTGAACCTCAGACCCGGCCCTTCCGGGTTGAGATGTTTCGGGCTGCAGGAGAAAAGCCGAGTCTAAACACCCTATAAACTCTGCATCCAGCCCGCGACCCAAGAAGTCTTGAGACCTATATAAGCGCTGCGAAGGGAAAATCTGTTGTGTCTTCAAAGCTCTACCCTCAAATCCAAGCCCAATTGATGTAGCTCTCTTCGAACTGCAATACCCCCTGGAACCTCAAGCCCTGCCGTCCAAGGCTTCTGATCGATCTCTCGATCTCTCGCTCTGTCTCTCTGTCTCTCTCCTCCTGTCACTCTCCCTGTCTTTCTCCCCCGCCCATCCATGCTGGAAGCTTGCTGCGAGATGGCAGTCTACCGGCCGAACTGGCAGCCATTACCTGCTCCGCAAACTCGGAGTCAAGAGTTTACCTTCGTTCCACCGAAGACTAGAACTCAAACTGTCATAGGAATGCGAGGGACAGCAAGCGTTTAGGTGCTTGCACGGGTGATGTTGGAGCTTGGAGGGAACCTCGAGAAGGAAACCTTTGGAAAGCAGGTGAGGATTATCCTGAGTTGTTTGGATCGTAAGACTTTTTGAAATAGCTTTCAACAAAGGCCGTAAATAGAGTAGGGTTTATAACGGTTTGCCTACCCTAAACCCCAAGCCCCACTTACTAAGTGTCGTGGGATTCGCGGCCAAGCAAGCGCAGGTAGATACCGTCGAAATCAATCTTTGATGCCGGCACCCAGAGAGCCTGACAACCACAAAGTGCCTCCGTGCAGTAGCATCACCAGCCCCGAAGCATTAAACAGAATCCCGACGAATCCACGTTGCTATCCTAGCACCTCACGCCGAAACCTTGCGACCTCACCCTGGAGGTTCCAGCAGCCTTCCAGCAGGAGGCCAGGAACCTCTGCCAACCTGGTTCTTCAGCGATGGGTCCTTACGACTATGACTATCCTTGTCGCGTTTTGGATGTGGGCTGTGGGATAGGTGGGGTTGGCTTTCTTGGGCAGGGAGTTTGGGGCCTCCAGCGCTTTCTAAGACAACCTGCTTGTGTCAGGGCATTGGCCTACACTCTGAAACTCTGAGCCCTATTCACCAGATACTGTAGAGCTGCGACTTTGCATTGGAGGGCTTTGGGGTCCATGTCCCTTCATGGGGCGTTGTTGGGGCCCCTCCACAAGTTGGGTCTCTCTTCGCGGCCCACCTAAGTCAGTATATTGTGCTCGAGGTGTCAGGGACGAGCCATGGTCTGAGAATATAGGGGCCTAAATAATTACCAATACTAGTTTGGAGCCCTAAACCCTATTCTAATTATTGAGGCCCCTACATTAGGGTTTCAGGGCCTGCCGCAAGCCTGCGCGGGCAGGTTCGGCCGGCCGAAACAGGCGGATGGACCCGAGCAACTGGGAAAGACAGAAGGGGGGTCTCGTTTTTGGACTTCATGATCTCCCATGGCCCTCGGTTTTTACGGCTTCTGTCTTCGGAGCTAAGACAAGGCAGGATATGGGCAATGTTATAGCCGGCACCTACGCTCAGGAAGATGGCGTAACACATCCGCAGGGAATCAAGATGCAAGCCTGTGCCATGCAACGCTCGGTAAGACCTGAGCCCTGTGCTTCCATCGGCATACTTCAAAGCTGGATCCAGATTTTAAGGTTTTTCTCCCAGCGCTGCGAGTGTAAGTAACGAAGAAAGATTGGCAACAACACCCCCATGCGAGGTTCACGGGAGGCACAAGAGGTGATGGGCCGAAGCATGACCTGATTAGGGCTATCATAGACTGCTAGAGCATTCCAAAACCTAAACCCTATATCCTCTTAGTAACTCAGAGGCCGGATTCCAGCAGCTCTTCGGCGATGCCCAGGACCAGGAGGAAGCGGAAGAGGAGCGTCTTGAAAAGAGCTTTCAAGTTACGCGTTCCCTCAGAGGCCGCTCCTAAATCCGTCCTTGCAGGCACTTCTTTCCTAGGACCAAAAGGATTGGACCTTCCGGACTTTCACATCCCAATTTATTAGACACCGAACGCTAAAAGGCTAGATCGTCGAATCTTAATTCATCGCCACCCATCGAATTTCAACATCCAGCCTCACCGGCCGCAACGCCAAGCCCAGGCAAGCCCTGTCATGGAAAGGCCCGTGTATCCTAATAGACATGCCAGCGCCAACCGTTGCTAAAAACTTACCAACATAGACGAATGCACAAACTTGCAGCCTTGTATCGCAATGGAACCATTCCGTGCCATGCAATTCTCCGACGTTTCATAAGTTCGTCGTCCACTCGAAACAACTGTACCGCTGCGGACCTCTGAAGAAATCCTGCAGAATTTCATTGAAGATGAGATCCTTGTAGAAACCTGCGCCATGTGGTGCTGCACTTCTGCTGCTCTTGGAAATCCTGTTCAAGTCCGGAGATCCGAAGAACGGAACCTGAAACTCTAGTTCCTGGTATCTGAAGCCATCAGCCATAGGAGTACGAGGCCCCCGCCGGCCGCTCCCAAAAATGGCAGGACGACGTAAGCTTCAATACACAGACAAATCGGCTTTATATGGTATAGAGGCTAGGATGCATGATCTCTGAGAGTTTCGAGTGCAGGGCTGAAGGAGTTTGGAGTTTACGGTTTTGGGTGTTCAGGGCTTGAAGGCTTTTCGGGATCAGGGCCCTGCGTCTTATGGGGCTCTTCACCATCTCGGCAGTTCAAGATTTTAAGGGAGCGCCGCGAGGTTTAGGTTGGTGTACGTTTCTCGAAATCTCTCTGAGGACCCGGGGAGTTGTTCACTGCCACGCCACTTCCCAAACCAGAGGGGTCCGAGCCGTTTCTTGGTGGTTTGTTTCCCTCCACGTCCAGATAAGTACCACTCAGGGTTAGTCAGGGCCGCCAGTGTACCAATAGTAACGTGAGGCTCTGCGCCTCCTCTAAGATCCCTACTATACTTCAAGGGTTTCCCGGAGATTCCTTAGATATCGGCCTTTGCAGTCTCTGGAGATTTGGGCCTCTTTGATGCGGTTTTGCGGGTTTCGGGGCCCGGCCTTGACTCTGCAGGGTTTTTCTTTGAGCTTCTCTTCAGGTTTTCTCGCCCAAAAGCCCCAATCCGCCACTTTACAGCGCAAGGCAAGTAAGAAGGGCTTAGGGGTTTCCAGTTCGGAGACCTGTTGCAGGACTGGTGGGGCAATGACAAGGAGGAAAAGTGGGCGGAGGAGTGGGCGAGTCCCTGGATCCTAAACATAAACCATTGTGAGGGAGGCTGCGAAGCCCGATGTTATGTCCTTTACTTTCAGCCCTCAGCCGAATGCTCTTGATTCCTGTGCGCGTAGACCCAGGCGATTGGAGCCTTGGGGATGTTTGCGGTGTCAACCTCCTTGCCCCTAAGGCTATACACATGAATCCCGGAACCCCCTACCCTTAAACCCCCCAAGGCGAGCACCCACACTAAACCCCCCAAACAAGACCCTAGTCTAAGCATTCAGGGGCCTATATTTTCCTGCGCAGGATTGGTGGCAGAACGACCAGAAGAACAAGGAGGAGACCTCGGAGTTGCCCGAAGGGTACACAGCGACTACCAGCAACAGAAGCGGTCATGGAACCGCAAATTATTCAGCCGAAGGAACGACAATGCCAGGACCAAACTCTACGCCGACCCCTCGAACTCACTCTGAACCAACGCTCCCAAACTTCAACATCAGCAGGACTGGGGTTGGCAGAAGCAGGATGACTGGCGTGAGGACCGTCTTCTTTTGCACCGGGTTGGCTTCAAGTTGGGGTTGTGTCAGTTGGGGTGTGCTGCATAGGGTCTCTTGTCTCTGTGACGATAGGCGAGAAGCATAGGGTTCGGAGACCAGGACTACATCCAACGGCCATGAAGAATCCGAAACCCCAAACCCGTCATTGAAACATCTGATACCCTTTAGTGTTACTGCCTTGCAGCCCATACCCGAGGAGTACGCTAGTGTGTCGACCGGCTGATGCTAGGGTGACTTGTTTGAGCCTTGCTGGGTGACCGTTTCCTGTTCCAAGTTTCGGGTTTGGGGCTTCAGGCTTAGGCTCTCGGGAGTACGATTGACGACGCTGGATTCGAGGATTGAATTCTTACGATATCAAGCTCCAGGTTTGGGAGTTCAGGTTTGAACGGCTTGATTCTTCAGATAGCCTGACGACGCCTAAACCTTCAAACTAGGCACAGTGGTTCGTTATCCTATTAAACCCCAAACTCCTGAACCCCCGAACTTCCAACCCTCAAAGCTGAAACACAAAATTTCAGAGGAATGGCAAGCTGGAGCTGAGGTCGTGGACTCAGGGGCTGACAGTGCAGGGATCTTCGCCGCAGAGTTTGGGGTCGTGAAGCCGTGTGACACACACACACAGAGGCACACACATCTCTTGCTCTTCACTGTTTCAAATCGGGGAGAGCTTAGGCCGTTGAGTGTAGAAGTTTGTGGGAGTGCAGGGTTTCGTCGTTTAAGCCTCCGATCACCAGATCCATGCCAAAGCGCATATGTCTCAGCACAGCCTGCCATACCGAAAGCGCGATCAGGTTTGTCAACGCAGGTGCAGGTTTGGGGGACCCTTGCCCCGAGGGCTGCATGTTCGGGCGTTTTGGGCGACGGGGTAAGTGCGCGGACGTCTGACAAGCAAGTGAAGGTTCACGAGCTTGGGGATTAGGTTGATGGCTTTCGGGTGTTGAAATTTGGGTTTAGGGTCGTGGCTTGTTGGATTTGAGGTGTATGTAGTGTTTTGCACAGCCAGGACAGATGAGTCAGTGGCAATGCTGCTGGAGTTTTTGAACGGTTTGGTAGCAATGGACGTAAAATTCGGGTATAGTTTTAAACTGTTAACACTTTACAGGCTGTATGGGCTTATGGTGCTGGGTTAACGCGTCGGGTTGAAGGTCAAGTAAGGATTTCATGTCCATAGTTTAAGTTTGATATTAAGGGTTTAGTAGACTGTGGTTGTCAAGACAAAGTCGCAAATCAATACCTAGAACCAAAAAGCCCGAATAGTTTTACCTCTGAGCCGCACCTGTGGAATAGCTTCAACGAATGCAGGGTTGACGGTCTCAGGCTTTCGGGTTTCAAGCTTGCAGTTCAGTGGCTTGTTTATTCATTTTTTTCGTGTTGGTTTCGGGGTTTGCGGGTTGAGTCGTTGACGATGAAGATCTCCGAGACTCCAAAGATTCTGCTCCAAGGACCAGTGGCACTCGCAAGCGAAGGACGACTTGGCGGATAGTCCGGCACAAGTGGGTGCAGCAACTGTAGCTGCAACTGCAACGTGACATGCTGGCAACATTGTGGCAGTATCGGTTCCAAACATTATGCCTTTCTTCATAGACTTCGGATAGGAGCAGCAGCATTGGCTGTCCTAACCATGGTCATGACGACTTTGAGCAGAAGCGCCACCACCACCACCGCCGCCGCCGCCGCCACCACCACCACCACCGCCGCCCCCACCACCACCACCACCCCCGCCGCCACCACCAGCACCACCACCAGAACCACCACCACCACCACCACCACCACCGCCACCACGACCACCACCGTGGCCGTCGTCACGGTTGTCAGCATCGTCACTGTTTTCATCATAATCATCACGATCGTCGTCGTCCGCATCCTTGCAGACCGTGGCGGAACATGGTGCACATCATGGCGATGGTCATCACCATGCTGACGAACGTGGTGATGCTGACGATGCTGCAGCTGACGCAGATGATGATTTTGACTCTGGTGGTGGTGGTGATATTCGTGTTGACGGCGATGACAGTCTTGATGTGTTGAAAGTACATTATTGAGCCTGAAGTGCACCCGCTGGAAACAACTCCCCGGCTTCAGCCGCAGGACGCATGGAACTCACGAGCGGAGGACCTGCTAGGATCCATCGTTGGGTACAGAGACGGAGAAAGGTGGTAAACATGGTGAACCAATATTTGCGTTTTGCAAGAGGCCGTGATGGTCGAGAGGCAGGTGCAGATTTTCCCTCTCTTCCTAGCAAAAGGCAGCGGCAATCAACAGTTTCACATAGGTGTGGGAAGCCATGTACCACCAGGCAAGAGAAGATTGTGACAGTGCTAGATTACCAAGTCGGAAGGCAGGTACAGATGGTAAAGACAAGTAGAACAAGGCGCGGTTTCGCAGAGACTGAGACCCGATCTGGCCAGAACCGCAACTGCCCCGTTTAAACTTTGATTGCTCTAGGTTCAGCTCCAAGATGCCTTAGCAGTTGGCAAGTCGTTCCTGAACTGCAGGGCTCAGAGCTGAAACCGTAGGTCCTGAAAATCCTAAACCGGAGGACGAGGATGAGCGAGGAGACTGGCCAGCCGCAGAGGACGTGAGTTAAGTGGTGTGTCGTCTAGGTTCGGATTTGGAACTCATAGGTTCGCTGGTCGGCTGTGCATGGATCACGCTTCGTCAAGGATCTTCAAGGTGTGGTGCTATGTTGGTATGTGTGGGATTCGACGCAGAAGCTTTTCTAGCTTTGGGCACCCGACGCTTGCGAATCGAAAATGTTTTCGGCTGGGAGCCAAAACGGCTGGTGTCTTCCTCGAACGCTTTATGCGTGGCGGTGCCCCTCAACACCCGGTGTTCACACGCTGCCGACACTACACGCGGACAGGGGGCGTAGCTTGCGCTTTAGGTGATTCAGGGCTCTGGGCGGGCTGGTAAGAAAAGCAGGCGTCTTAAGCTCATCCGTTTTGCGAGTCTGCTCCCGAATTCTGAGCAAGTCAGGAAGGACCCCTGCAGTGCCAGTTGGGGCCTAAAGCTTCTTACATCGACAGGAGACGTCTGTACCCAGCCCCACCGGAATGCCACGAAATCTTCAGACCACTGCGAAGGCCTGGGTGCTTGGCCCCCATCAGGGAACTGATCGCACTAGTTGCTTCTGGTTTCAGTGAGTGCGGGTTCATCGGGAACTGATCGCACTAGTTGCTCCGTCCTGCTTGCTCCTGCAACAGGGCTTGTCTTCACGTGGCCTGAAATAACCCTGACTCATTTGCAACCCCAAGCCGCCTAAGCCTTTTCTCCTCTCTGAGAGGTAGGCTCTCCTGAGACTTGCGCTCGTAAAGCCCGCAGGCAAAGGCGAGGCCGAAAGCCCGCCCGCCGCAGCCCGGTCTGGACTTCCGGTTTAGGGCGTAGCCAGGGATTCTGTCAGGGCTTTTACATAACATCCTTAGAGATTCATTCCGCCAATCCCTTAGAGATTCCGCCGTTATGGAGAGGGTTCCGGGTTCGCAGAGCTGAGGTTTGGGTCTCGTGTTTCGGGTTCGATTGACGGGGCTTCTTTTCTTCGGGGTTCTTCCCCAGTTTGAGTTTGGAGGGCCGAGAAGCATTCGGGTCGAAGCAGGATACTGAGATTCACGGCTCAACTCGTGACCACACTTATAACTTGTAACCCTGAACCCTCCAGACCCGAAACCTTCGTCTTCTGTCCGCTTCAGGCCCCATTATTAGTTGAGCCTTAAACTCTTGCCTTTCAAAACCCGGGAGAAAGCAGGTTCTCACCCCTGCGCCCCGAGCTCCGAAGCCGAACGGCAAGGGAGATCGACCCCTCTCCACTCAAGAAAGGTAGGCGGCTTAAGTCTTCATGCGGGGTTATTGATGTAAATCTCAGGTGTAGATACGTTGCATCGTTCAGGGGTTCAGGGATTTCAGGAGGCTCGAGGCCAGATGCAGGGTTCCGAGTTCAGGCCGTCTGGATGGACCCGTAAACCTTAAACCCCAAGGCGGCCTGAATCTTTGAAAGCCACTAGAAGGCACCCAGCTGCGACGGGGCCTCGCAGCTTGCCTGACTTCATGTCGTAGAGGGCTTTGCGACCTCAAGGGGGGTTTAAACAGGCTGTGAGTTGATAAACACGCGAGCACATGCACAGACAATGGTTGGGTCATGGGCTATTGAGGCAGGAGGCACCCAGATCGACTTGTCTAATCTTGGTAGCCATACAACACAGACAGATGGCAACGTTTCAGCAGCGATGATGGGTCGTTCGAGGGACCTGACCTGGGCTTTTGAGCTGGGGTTCAAGGGCGGACTTCACGGCTCGGGGGTATGACTTTGGAAACAAGATTCTTGCAGGATGTCGCTGGGTATGAAGTCCCGGTGAAGTCTTCAGTGGTACTACTTGTTTTACAGGGAGTCAGGGCCGAAGTGATGTTCATCGGGATCGAGAAAGGAGGCTACTATACGTATGCATGTAGGAAGATCTGTGTGTACATGCATTTACATACACATTACACGCACATACATACATGGGTACCCACATATATATGTATCTTATGTGCACATGCACATAGATATGTTTGAGTCTAAAGATAGAATGGTACAGGGTCGGTCCTAATCGCAACAGCATGCAGGGCCTAGGATGCTGGAGGGTGGAAGTTGCGAGTTTATAGGTTTGAAGGTTCACGGAGTTTGAAGCAGAGCCCTCCTTCCAAGTATCTCACCTCCTACGCTTACACCAGGTTTTGCGGTTCAGGCTTTTGACGTTAGTCTTCAACCTGGCCAGCGGCTTGACGTTGAAGTCGTAACGGTCAGAGTGGGCCACGGTGGCGTATAAAGCGTCACAAGCGCAGTCAGTCGGGAAGCAGAAATGGGAACACGAGAGTGGAGAGCAGCTTTAACCAGCTGGCCAACAAGAAACATGAGACATATCTAGCCCTTTTTGAACATGTACCGGCAACTTTCCCCTACTTTCATTTGACGATTGAAGACTTGTAACAACTGGCCGATTTTCATTCCGTTCCAATATTATGAGGCAAGGGTTTCGGATGACATATAGGGCTTAGTGTTGGTTTTAGGGACTCGGGTGTCGGGCAAAAACAGTATGCCTTACCAATGCTTTTCGGCTTCCGGCTTTGCAGACATTCGGCTTGAGTTCAAGTGCGCTATTGTACACGTTCAACCGCGTAGGGTTAAGGGTTATGTAATGGCACAAGGTGCAAGGTGTCCGGTGTATTTTCAGCTCGAGATACATGGGAAGGCACCGAATCACCTTGGTGTGCAGATTTGGGCAGCTGATTCGGTTCGATGTGCCATGTCTAAGCATCCTGACCTAACCTGGTTTCCAGCACTAAGCTGACTGGCAGGACTGTAAACATACCATTAGGCCTATGCCCCCTAACCACAAGCATCGCCGAGGTCCCCCTGCTGGACCTCCACCCGCCGAAATTCTCAACAAGCAGCGGGCGTTCATGCCACCGACCCTGGGAAGGAACATTTGTTACAAAGGACAAGACGGAACATAATCCCTGCAGGTCTACGAAGCAAAAACATTCGGCTGTTCGGACTACAGCACGCAGGGGGTGGGGACAGTTTCAGCCTAGGCCTTGTAGTGGATGTAGGAGCTGGGGCCAAGGTGGTACAGTCTTTCGGGTCGCGGGTCCCTTGCTCCCTGTGGCCGAGACCCCCGAAAAGCCTTGTGAAAAAACCCAGAACTCCTGAATACTGTTGTCCTGCTTGCTCCGCTTGGTTGTCCGGAAGGAATAACTCCGCTTGCATTCCCCTATTCTCCTCACTTTCCTCACTCGTCCCACTGGGTCAGAGAAAGGCAAATGGTAGCACCGCCCTCCACTTCGTTCGGCCCAGTTCCCTTTTTCCGCGGAGCCGTGGGCAAAGCCCTCATCCTTCAAACCGTGTCAGGAATTTTAGAGGAGGGAATGCCTTCGAGGCCAGTGGGCAGCAGGGCAAGTGGCGAAACGCGCACAGCAGCGAAGAGCAGGTGAAGTGGTGCAAGCGGGGCATCTGGCGAAAAATCGGTTTTCAGCGAACCCGGACAACCAGGTCATGGGCGGCAAGCGGCAGAAAGCAGTTTGCGCCTAACGTTTGCAAAAGCGTTGTTCATTCTGGTGTTTCGGGTGTAGCGGCAGAGTTTGACGGAGGCTCATAGCTTCTCTTATTGATTACGGTGTTGGGTTCTCTACCTTAATCAGACCCTGCCTGAGGTTCTGCGACTTTACACATTTGGCTCTATCTTTTACTCGTGCTTGCCAAAAACAAGAGAGCCAAGATTGGCTTGCGGTTTTGCTTCGAAGCTCAGAGTTTAAGTGTCAGGGTTTGTGGTTCCAAATTTGGCGTTTCGCGGTTCGGTTGCCGGTTTTCGATGTGAGGGTTCAACAAGCAGGTTCCAGGTATCAAGGGAGGCCAAAACCTGGAGAATTTAGGATCCAGTATGGACAGTCTGACTCCGCAGAGCCTGGTAGAACATCCATACATATCCCATCGCACCTTTCAGAAGCCAGGAGATCCTGGTGAACCAGCCCAACTGCTGCTAGTCGTTGCAACCCTGAAGCCCTTGGCCCGCCCTTCTCAGGAAGCCAAAGTTGCCGAGCATGCCTCCACCTGGAGTGACTCGGTTCTGCGGGATGCCAGATGTGCGGAATTGGTTTTCCTTTGCTGCGGATTTGGCGTCTTGGGGGCTCACGGTTTTCCGTTTCTTAGCCAAGGTAATTGAAAGCATTGCGGTAGAGGCGAAATCCGAAATGGCGGCTCGCAAACAGGCCTCCGTCCAAGCCCACAATCAGCCTGACACGAGGAACCTTCAGCTTAGACTGACACTGCCCAGGGACGCCCGCCTGTTCCCAACAAGTGGGCTGCTCTCAACGAGGACACTGCTTTTCGTGCTGTTTCGAGGTTCAAGATGCCCGTCACAACTACGTGGGGTACCCGTAGCACCCGAGCCTCAGATCCTGCTATCCTCGAAGCACTTGCACGAAAGCACGGTGGCGACGATCATGATGATAGGTGGTGTCGGTGCCGTGTGATGATGACGACGGATCACGATTCCATGGACCATGGCAACCTCGACGGCAACGAGGGTTGTCATGATGATGATCGTGGTGATGCTGGTGATGATAATGGTGGTGTTGGCGGAGGCGGCGGTGGTGGTGGAGGTGGTGGTGGTGGTGCTGCTGCTGCTGATGATGATGGTTACGGTAGTTAGGAATCTCATGACGATCATTATCGCGGTCATCATTTGAAATGATCATGATGATGTGGTTGCTGATGGTGATGCTGGAACTGTTGACGATGATTGTACGCAGATGCTCGTGCTGATGCTGTTGATTTTGACGATGATGACGGCGGCCAGCGATGCTCACAAGCAAGATGAACTAGCATTGCATAAGCAGGAAGAAGACTGTAAAGATGCGGCGATGGTGTCTATCTTGCTGGTGATGTTAGTGTGGTTGTTGGTTGATGATGATAGCAGTCATGGTGGCAATAATAAGCATCTACGAAGACCATAGTGACCACGACGATGATGATGATGGTGATGATGATGATGCCAGGGAGGATGGCTGAATTACACAAGGCAAAGGTGCAGCTCTGCCCCAGGATGACGATGACGATGAAGAGCCGCAAGGGACTCTGAGTGCACTCTCCGGTATGAGGGGGCTGTGCTGTCGTGTATTTGGTTTTCGTGTCGGAGTTTGGGTTTTAGTGAGCCCGCAAGCTGGTAAACCTGGAGCCCAACCTGACCACACTTCAAACTCTACCGGGTTTAGTGGCCTACTGTATGGGATTTAGTCTATTCGGCGTCCGGGTAGGGAAGTTGAAGGTGTGGGGTTTGAGCCATGAGGTCGGGCAAAAGCGACTGGGCCAAACAGCCCAAAACTCCAGCTCCAAAGCCCCTTTGCACGGACTAAGCTGAGGCCGCCAGCCACCGAACAGGACCTGGCAGTCCAGGAATTCGGGTAGGTTGGGGCCAGGGCCCAGGTCTTTTGGTTTATGAGTTAGGGTCTAGGGTTCGCTCTTGAGGGCTTAGGATTCCTTAGGATGTTCATTGTGGTTTCCGAAGCATAAGAGCTTAGCCACGCCCGGCATGCGAGGTGCTCTATGAGGTTTCCAGAGCTTGAGACTTTGGGGCTAGTACGGTCTTTTGCGGCGGTTTCATGCGCATCTTTGACCCGGCAAGTTGCATTGCAACAGGCTTTCTACTTCATTTGCTGTTGTCCTTGTTGCTTGAGCTTAAACACGTTTTCGTGCATAAGGGAGAAGCGTATCTGATCTTGTTTGAGAGGTACTTGGGCTGCGCCATCGTTTCTCCTGCCCTCAGATTTGAACAAGCTCTGTTCCTGAAAAACTACCAATACTATTCCCTAGGGTTCCTGAAATTAGTATGTCCCGCAACCCTATTCCAACAGCTACGACCAGCCACAATCTCCTTACATTGTGGAACCTTTACAGTAGCTCTTAAGCCTTGAGTGCTATACAGTCTTCTAAGCTGTGAGCTGCTACATCCGAAGCCTCGCCGGAGCGCGGATGAGGCAAGCCTTGGTGCTAAGCCGCACCCGTAAGATCTAGTATGGGAGCGCCAAGGCATGAACAAAGGTTTCAGAAGCTGGAGGCTTCACCTTGCTGTAGCTTTTCTCAGTGGGTTTTAGACTTTCGTGTTCAGGATTCCCGAAGCGAAGCCCTACAAGCGGTTTGCCCGAGCGAAGAGTATGAAGTCATCTCAACGTCGGAGGAGTCCAGCAACGGATGGACGGACGAGGAGTGGCGCGAATGGAAAAACCAGCCACATGGAAAGCACTAACTCATTGTCAGGTAGGGCCTAGGGGAGTTGTTTTTCTGCTTCAGCGCTGCTCGAGAAGTCTGCACACTTGAACTTTTCGGTGGTTCTTACATCCGTGTGCATGCGCTCACCGGTCGTCTGCATGACTTCAAGACCAAGCGGACAGCGACCACGACTGAACCGGGTTCGAGTCAATGTTTCCTCCCCTCATCCCCCGCTTTTTTCGACCACACATAGACTTTATAGCTTCAGTTGATCTGAGGTCCGAAGAGGATTTGGGTGTAACAGACACAGAAGACTGGGATGAAGGGTGTCGGTCTTTGTTCGGCTCTATCAAGCAGAAACTTGGGTGGGGGGGGTCTCTGGTTCACCTGTAGATTAGTCCCGCACCTTAGCCCACTCTCCGACCTGTCGTGCGTAAGGCAATGGAAGGAGAAGCATTGGAAGGATGAGAAGTGGCAGGACCAGGGAAAGAGTGGCTTTGAACATGTAGGTCGAAGGCTCAAGTCTCAAGTGTCAAGATCCAGGGTCTAGTCTAACCTGCCCGTTTCCGAGCTCAAGCCGTGAACCCTAAGCCGCTCAGTGCCGAACACCAAACACCAAACCGCACTTTTTGTCACCAACCTCGGATTTCTCGCCTAAGCCTTCAACCCTTCTTGTTTCGGGTTTTGGCCTTTTGTTCACAACTCTAATGGGGCCTGGTTCTACCGTAGGGTGTGGTTCGTCGGGACGCCGCCGGAGTTCAGCGCTGCTCAAACTGCATACTCCGAAGCCTCGCCACGTGCAAAGTAAAGTCCTCAGACACCAGTCTGCCGGCTGCAAATCAGGTTGCACTCGCTTAATTAATTAGTGCATGTGCAGAAACCTACGCATGGCCGGAAGCGGACCGTGTCCTAGAACAGCTGCCGGATGCATCGAGGACGATGGCTGGAAGACTTCTTCTTCCTGGAAGGCTCGCTGGCAAAGTCTCCTGAGTCCCTACTCAATCCTTGAGCCCTGATGCCCTCACCGGTCGACGCAGCCGTCCATCCCATCCTCAACTCGAAAGCCCGCCCAAATCCGAACACGTAAACGTTAAACCCCAAGGTTCAAATCGTAAATACTAGCCGCATGGATCCCAATCCCGAAACCCGAAACCCTAAACCCCTCGAAGCTCGGCACTCGAAAGGAGAAGTGGTGGGAAAAGGATTGGGGTCGCCGGGATACCCAGCGAAACCTAGAAGATTCGCATGGCTGCAAGGATTAGGTGCAGGTTTTTTCGGGTTCAGGGTTTGGGGTAGAGGGTTTTGGGGTTTGGAGCGTGGGGTTTGGGCGACTAGAAAACCCTCTCGGGAGTCTTGGCTGGTAATTCGGTTCCTTTGGGGGCTCTGCCGAGAATGCTTTTTAGTTTAAGGGTGTTGCCTTGGGGTTGTGGGTTTTATGTAGAGCATGGAGCGTGGCTTTGCACATGGATTCAGAACGAGTTCAGAACTTCTTTCGGGGCTTCATGCAAGCATCCCACCCTCTATAAGCAATTTCGGACACCAAAAGGAATGGAAGAAAGGTCGAAGAGAGATACATGTGCATGTACGCCCACAAAAGGCTACGATTCAGTGCCGAATGCAGGGCAGCCAAGGCTTCGGGTGCATCCTGAACCCTGAGCTTCGGGGAAGGAATTCAGCCTCGGGGAAGAGTTTCGAGGAATGAGGAGTAGTCGTCGTGTCGTCCTGCCGGGGTCTTGGTGGTGGTGGCGGTGGTGTAATAGAGTAACCTTCAATATTCGGTTTCGAAGGTTTGGAATACCTGGGTTCTACAGCCCACAAGCCGAAGATGCAACGGAGGAGTTAAGTGTGCATGCTGTACTTTATCTATCTGTCTGTCTATCTGTCTGTCTATCTATCTATCTGTCTATCTACCTGTCTGTCAAATATCTGTCTATCTATAATCTATCCATCTGTCTAGCTATCTCTTTATCTACCTGCCCATCTATCTATCTATCTATTTATCTGTCTGTCTGTCTATCTATCTATCTAGCTGACTAACTAACTATCTAACTATCTATCTAACTACCTATCTACCTATTTATCTACCTATCTATCTATCTATCTATCTATCCATCTATCTATCGATCTATCTATCTATCTATCTATCTATCTTTCTATCTATCTATGTATCTATGTATCTACGTGGAGATATGTGTAGCCTTCTCAGCAGCTTCCGCCGCGCGGCCAGCCAACACTGCCCCGGCACCCTTAGGCTTCGCATCAGTCTTCTTCCCATGCAGCTTTGCCCGGAGTTCAGAAAGCTTTTGCTCCACTTTCGTTGCCCCCTCTGCGCCCACTGATGTGCCGGGCTCGTCGTCCAGCATGGCATCGAGTGCAGTGCGGCCCTTCTTAGGCTTATCGAGCCCCTTCTTGCGGCGCTTCAGGGGTGGCTTTGAAGGGGGAATCTCCTCCTCATCATCCTCAGCTTCTTCTCCGAGAACATCATCATCATCATCACCCTTATCCGGAAGCGGAGGTGCGGGCAAAGCTTGTGCGGCGGATCCTCTGGGCCTTGTGGCCTTGCTTTTGGGGTGTACTCCTTGCAATCTTCGCTCAGGCACCGGAGCTGGGCATCCCCAAGCACGCAACAAATCCTCAGCCGATGCGCGGGAAAGAGGCGACCACTTCTGAATGTGTATCACATCACCCCGTCCCACATTTCGACTGCATCTTGACACATGTCTCCTGCACAGGTGGTGGTAGGCGTCTTGAGGTAACCCCCCTGCCTTTCCTTCATTGGCCAAATACCAAGCGTAATAATCACTGTTTGTTCCCAGGTATTTTAAATCAATGTAGCCACCATCCTGATTTCGAGGGTACTTGTTTCGAACTTGCGCCACTGCTTGCCCCAGTCGCTCAAAAGAATCTCCATGCACATCGAAGACCAAATACTCAAAGTCTGATTCATATGTGGCAGAAAACACAGCTTCACTCGTGACAGCCCCATCAACCATCTCAGGGAGTTCAGAAGCCTCGTTACCTGCCCCGGGTCGTGCACCCCTACGACGAGACATGGCCCACCTCCACAAGGGGCCAACACCCCTACAAAGAGGCTCAAGCCTAAATCATCCTGTCGCGAGGGCCCATTGATCCAGAATGCAAACTTGAGCCAAAATGGCTACGGACTCCGCGGGGGTGCGGTGAAGCCTCCCACGCACCCTCAGCGCGACCAACCACCTACCGAGGTTCAGACATCTTCCAAGCCCCATTCAAAAAAGGAGAGCCCGCCTCCCTCTCCAACCAGGCCTCCTTTAGCGAGGAATCGGCAGAGCGAGGCGGGAAAGTCAACCCCAGAACGCCATGTGACCTTCGCAGACGAGGGGAACAGGGTGCAGCGACCCATGACGATGCCGGTGTCAGCTGCAAGACAGCAGACGCCCAGAAAGCCCGGAGAGTCGAAGCGCCAATGGAAAGATCGGGTGTTCAAGGTGGCGCGGGGACAGGAACCGGGTTGATCAAAGCACCAGCGGTGGGAAGGCCAAGCGATTCCAGCATTGGCCATCCCACAAGCACTGATGCTGCAGGTGATGGCCTGCCGGTTTTTAATGTTGGGGTCTTCGAGCCTCAGCCGTCTACAGCTGCTGGTGGCGGCCGGTGGGGTGGTGAGAAAGTGGAAGTGGACAAATCGTGCACTCAAGGTGTCCCGGGGACAGAAACCGGGTTGAGCAAATCACCAGCTGTGGAGAGGCCAAGCGATTCCAGCATTGGCCAGCCCACAAGCACTGATGCTGCAGGTGATGTCCTGCCGGTTTTTAATGCAGGGGTCTTCGAGCCTCAGCCGTGTACAGCTGCTGGTGGTGGCCGGTGGGTTGGTGAGAGGTTGGAGTCCCTTGAAAAATTGCGTGTGACGCTGCTGCATGATGTGGGTGATGACGTGCTTGCTTTCCGTAGACTGTTAGCCGGAGGGCTGCCGAAGAAGCTTTGTTTGCTTGAGCTTGGGTGCGTTATGTTGCAGCTTGCCTTTTCAGCCCCACGCGATGGGGAAGTTCTTCGTTCCGTGATTGACGAACTCATTCGAAGAAAAATTGCCACGCCAAGTTCGGGGGACGGGAGGTTTAGGGATGTCCTGCCACTTCCGGTTCCTCCTTTGGGTGCAGCTGCAACTCTATGCGAAATCATGCCAAGATCAAGCACTGGGCTGTTGCTTTGGGAGCCATCCAAGCTAAGAAAGACCGGGGCTCAACAGCTCAAGAAACTGGTGAGTTCAGGGACCATGCAGTTGTGGAGGCTCTTAGTGATCTTGAATCTGAACGGTGAATATATGGGGTGGCGTCCACCTTTGTTTGATCCGGTCGATTATCCCGGGCGAAAAGCTCAAAGTGAAGCTCTACAGCATGTCACTGGTCTTTGTGAGTATTTTGCCCGTGCACCTCTAGTAGCCTTCGATGGACCCGATTTCTCCACCTTGATTCGCAGTAAGGGTGTTGATTATACCGGTGAGGAAGTTCTGAATGCCTTGCCACTGAAAGTCGAAGAACTCTTGCCGGGGCTCCCTGCTGACGGAGTGGCGGGCTCCTTGCAGGCTGTGGAGGTAGCTGAGGGTGAGGTGTGTGAATGGTTGCGCAATCCTGCACTCGCACTTTTGCCATCTGATCGATGGCCTGATCCCTTGCCGAAAGCTACGATCAATGCTAGTCGCTCAGAATGGGAGCGTCTTGTCCCCATACTGGTCAGAAAGCGGATTTTAGCGCCCATTGACAAGTCTGAAATATTTCACGTTCGTGGAATCCCTGTCTTGAACGGTGCATTTGCCGTTCCCAAGAAAGGGACTGCAGCCCCTGGTCAGTGCAGGGTCACTAGACTCATCATGAACATGATCCCAAGTAACGCGCTCCAGCGCCTTCTTCAGGGGGACTTGAGCAGCCTATCAAGCTCAACGAACTGGACCCCAGCCCAACTTCACCCAGAGCAAGTGTTGCTGTGGAGCAGTGACGATCAAAAGGGTGCATTCTACGCATGGTCGTTGCCTCCGTCTTGGCGCAAATTGATGGCTTTCGCATGGCCCGTCGCAGGCGAACTTGTCGGACGACCCGGTGTTCGGGAAGTCTATCTGGCAAGTGCTGTGATCCCTATGGGTTGGCTAAACGCTGTGAGCCTTTTCCAGCATTTGCATCGGAAACTTGGGTTGTCGAGTCCGCCGGGGGGTGCTGGCCATTCCGAAAGCATTGAGTGGAGGCGAGACCGTCCTGTTCCACTTTCTGCGACGGTGCATAATGGTGAGTGGGTGCAGTTTTATTTGGATGATTTTGATTGCCCCGAGTTTGTCGATCGTGGGATTTGGGAGCGTCTGGTTGGAAAGATGTCTTATACACACTTGCGTCAAAGAGCTGCTTACAACCATGTGGGAGTTGAGATTTCCGCAGACAAAACACAGATTCGTCAGCCGCGTGTAGTTCGCATGGGAGCCGAAATCGATGGTGTGTTAGGCTTCGTAGGGCCTCCCGCCTCAAAAATACTTGAGACAGGATGGTTGGGAGTGTGGCTCATCGGTCAATCATCTGTGGGAAACAAGGCTCTGTTGATGCTGTTGGGGAGGCTGGTGAGATGTTTCGAGTTTAGGCGTCCCCTTATGTCAGTCTTGGATTCGTGTTGGCCAAGAAACCGATTTCAGCTACGTCGTGCGCTGAAGGCCCAGTGCGTGAGAGAAATCATACGCGCCATTAGCTTGCTGCCACTAGCGGTAGGTTCATTGCGCACGCCGGTGTCGGGGCTGGTGACATGCTCGGATGCTTCAACACATGGGGCCGGCATGTGTGCCACTGCGGGCCTCGCAAACATGGGTCATGAAATGCTGCAGCTGTTAGACGTGGGTGCCGTTACACGCATGTTGCCGCAGGGTGCTATCGGAACGCATGTACCTGAGGGTCCTCGTTTGGTGGTATTGTCACTATTTGATGGAATCGGCGCTTTGATGTGTGCGCTCACTCGGCTTAAATGTCAAGTCATCGCTTTTGCGAGCTGTGATGTTGATAAGCAAACCAAACGCTTAGCACGTCGTCGATGGCCAGGGATCATTGAGTTGGGCGATGCTACCAAAGTAGATGACAAAGTCATTGAGCATCTGCATCGCGCTACTGGAGGTCAGGTTGACATGGTGATTGTGGGAGCCAGCTGTCCATGCCATGACATCTCTTCTCTTGACGCTGAGCGTGAACATCTTGCAAAGCCTCGTCATAAGCTGTTCTTGGCCATTCTTCGGATTGTTGCTTTAGCAAAGGCCCACTTCACATGTCCGGTGCATTTCTTCGTGGAAAACCTTTCCAGTATGACACGGCAAAATCTCGAGTTGTTCAGTCAGATGTTGAGGTGTCGGCCAATTTTGCTTGATGCCAAATGGTTTACGTGGTGTACAAGACCGCGGTTGTTCTGGTGCTCGTGGAAAGTAGTGGCCGAGAATAGTGAGCAGTTGATTCCTCAAGATGGTTATCATGAATGGCTTTTCCCCTTATGTCGCCTCCCACAAAACAGCTGGTTGGATGAACAAAGCGTTTGGAATGGTGCTAGTGACGGCTGGTTGCCAACTCTTTCCAAGCCTTGCGAGCGTCACCAACAGCCAAAACAACCTGCCGGGATCAATCAAGCCAGCAGGGCCGCGATTTCGCGTTGGGAAGCAGACAGTTTCAAACTGGAGCTTGAAAATTATGAGTTTGAGGCCATGGTTTCCACTTTGAGTGGGAGTTTGAGGTTGCCATCTATCTCTGAAAGGGAGTTGCTCATGGGGTTTGATGCGGGGTATGTGTCCAAGGCCTTGCCTCCCAAACTGAGCTGGAACCAACACTTCAACATTGGTGCTGCGATGATCGGCAACTCTATGTGTGTTCACGTCCTTGTCATGTTGATGGACAGTTTGTTGAAAACGATTTCTGATTTGCCACGACGTGAACCCATGGACATCGTAGCACGCACTGGAGTCGCACCCGCAGGTTGGCTCTTGCATCCGCGTTTCGTTTCCGGGGCAGGGGATACTCCTTCTTGCAGGAAACTGGTAAGTCATTTTCTGCGTCAAGCTGAACGTGGTGGAACGGATGTTCGTTTGGATATCGGGGTTCCGTATCGCATCAAAGCTTGGCCTCGTTCAGGTGTGAACTCAAGCTTGTTCAATTGGAGTGTGGTTCATGGCTACCCGTGGCGACATTCAGCCCATATTAATGTTTTGGAGCTTCAAGCTGTTTTAAACGCAGTTAAGTGGAGAGTGCGAAAACAAGGAGGTGGACAGCTTCGGGCGTTGCCTTTGATTGATAATCAAGCTGTTTGTGCCATCATTGCTAAAGGTCGCTCTTCCAGCTTGAGGCTCAAGGCAGGTTTGCAGAAACTCAATGCGCTGTTGTTGGCCAGTGGTCTGGTGTTGGCAGTTGCGTATGTAAGCACAGAGGATAACCCCAGCGACATCCCATCGCGATGGTGGGACCGCGCTTTACACAGACGCAGAAAGAAATCCGTGCGAAAGACAGACAAGCTAAAACGCTGAAAGATCAGATAGTATCTCCTGGAATGCAGGCGCGCTACTCCAAAGCTGTTTTGGCAGTGCTTGTGTTCTTCATCGAAATGCCTGAACGTATTTTGACGTGGGATGCTTTAGACGATGCTGTGAGCGCTTGGCTTGAAGCTGCATACGCAGAGGGAGACCACAAAAGTTTGGCTAGTGATGCGCTAGCGGGTCTGCAATTCTTTCTCCCCAACTGCGTGGGAAAGCTCAAACATAGCTGGAAATTGGCGAAGGTTTGGCAAAAGCTTGAACCACCCGTGCGAGTTCTTCCCCTCTCACCACTTTTGGTGGCTGCTTTCGCTGGGTCCGCCGCACACATGGGATTTATAGCAGAAGCCGCGGCATTTCTCGTTGGCTTTGATGCGATGCTCCGTTCGGGGGAAATCTACAACCTGCGCATTGGACATGTAAAGTTTTTCGGCTCTCAAGCGGTGTTGTCACTTGGACAAAGCAAATCCGGCAAGAGAACAGGAAACAATGAAATGGTGGTGGTGGAATCGGCGATGGCTGTCAAGTGGTTGCGTTTAGCTTGCCGCGGTCGTGCCGCCAACGATCTTTTGCTGTCCAGAGGGGCTCGTTTCTTTCGAAACCTCTTTCACGAGCTAGTCTCTGTGTTCAATGTCCAAGGTTTGCTGACTGTCTATAGCTTGCGGCGTGGCGGCGCCACATGGAATTTCTTATTCCATGGAAGTATGGAGAAAACCTTGTTGCGCGGACGATGGTCCAGCACCTCTACAGCACGCATATATCTTCAGGATGCCGCGGCACTGGTGTCTCACTTGGAACTGTCGCGAGAGCAAACTAGTCAGGCCCGACATGCAAGTAAATTTCTGCAGTATTCACAAACTTGACGGCCAGGTGGCCAGGATGAGGAACGTGAAGGGGAGGGGAGATGAAACTTGCTTATCGGCCAGCGATGCCAGGTGATTGCTTGAGACATCCGCGGTGTCTGCCGTTACGAGCCCTGTGCAGTCTCCAACTCCTCCCTTTGATCACGAAACAGGCAGTGCAAAAGCACTTCCTTCAAAATCATACTGGCGTGGCGTCAGAAACAGGTGTGTCTCAACATGGAGATATGTGTAGCAGTAAAGGTCTTCCTTGAATGCGAAGCAGGATGTATGTTGCAGCTAGCAGGTTTCCGTAGTGAACGCCGCTTGTTGCATATCAGTTTGCATTCTGCCCACCCTACCCAGCCCATGGATTAAGTTCCGTTGGACTGAAGAAAGGGAGGGGAGATGAAACTTGCTTATCGGCCAGCGATGCCAGGTGATTGCTTGAGACATCCGCGGTGTCTGCCGTTACGAGCCCTGTGCAGTCTCCAACTCCTCCCTTTGATCACGAAACAGGCAGTGCAAAAGCACTTCCTTCAAAATCATACTGGCGTGGCGTCAGAAACAGGTGTGTCTCAACATGTACATCAGTCTATCTTCCGATCAATCTAGCTACTTATCAATCTTTACACTCGCTCTTGGCTTGTATATATCCATATATATATATATGTGTGTATAGATGTATGTGTGTGTACATATATGTACACATATTCATACATATACACCCATACGCATGTTTAAATGTATTCATTGCCTTTTTCGATTGTTACATTTCTACATAGATGTATGGGCTAATCCTTGTGGACGTAGCAAGCATGTCGAGCCCCTTCCCACTATTTCGGCACGAATAATTGAACCCGTGAGCGTTCCCGCCAGGTGGGGAAGACGAAGAGGCGCAATCATGTGAAGCTGGGTGTGTCAGGTGTGGTATGTGATACGGTATATACATATTCAAGCACCGCCAAAAGACGCAACTGTGCTCGTAACTCTAAGATTGTAGGAAGTCAGGCCAAAGTTGAGCAACCAACAGTCCCTATTACGCGGGCGCCCCTATAAGATCTTCAAGGAAGGATGCGAGGCACAAGGCTTGCGGTTCGGCGCGCAGCATTTCTGGGCTTCTACGCCTGCGGTTTTGGGGTTTACAAGTGGCGGACTTTCCACTGCAGTGCTTCTCTCGGACTCGGTTTTGGGGAGGGCAGCAACGATGCTCTGTCGGGAGTTGCTCTGGCTTGGGAGAAGGGATAAGACCCAGCAAGCATGCCAGTGCAGGAACTGATCGTTCACCCAAAAGTTTGAAACCCTATCAAGCTGCGCTTGTTTATTATTGTCGTATTTGTGCGGGAGAACCGTTCTGCAAACTGTGATGTCACACTCTCTTCAATAGTACATGCACAGGTCTCAATATGCGTCGAAGTTTGTCTTGCTTCCCATAACCGTAGTACCATGACCTTTGTGTTGCTCTCCTTCACAGTTTTCTCGTGTGCCCGCACCCTAAAGCCTTTTCACTAAGCTTTATATGGAGCGTTGCAAAGCCAAGTAAGGAGCTTATAACATCCTAAGCCAGCCTTTGCGCACGGGCCCCTCCTCGCCCTAAAGCTTTGCACCCTAAACCCCACATAAAACCACCAAAGCGCGCGAGGACGGAGCCGGCTCGGGCACAAGGCGCTGGAGCGATGCGAAGGAGAAAGGAAAAGGCTCCAGCTTTCAAGAAGTTGATGATTCAAACCGCTAGAGTAGGTTGTTGCGGGGGGGTGCTGGGGTCTCGGCTTGGGGGTTCGGGGGTTTAGGGCAAGTCTTGCGCGTAGGGATTTGGGTCGTGGCGGTTTGGGGTTTAGGTGTGGGGTGTAGGGGTGTTGGGTCAGGACAGGGCTTGGAGGTGTCGATACTCCTCGGGTGAGGACTAGTCTTTCAAGTGCACACGAGAGAATGGGTATGTTGCTTGGCGGGTTTGAGTGGTTCCGGATTTAGGACTTTAGGTCTGCCCGCTTTTCTGTCGAACATATGTGGTTTGCAAGGGATTTGGGCATCTTTTGGGCCGTTTGGGAAGCCTCAGTCAGAGGTGGTTGGGTGTTTTTCGAGGTGCGCGGTGCAGAGAGTGCAGAACATCTGCCCCCCTGCCCATGATCACGAGATTACTCTGCTCCGATACTTCCAACTCAAAACCAGGAACTAACACTTCAACCCTATAAGCCTTGGTGCTAATCCTGAAGCCATAGCACCTTTGGTGTTGTGCCCAAACCTCGTCGCCCAGCAACTGCGCGAAGGCGGCGCGAATGGTCGCTGGGAGTGGCAGGAGGCCAGGCTACAGCATCATCCCTCAGACCAAAGCATAAACTCCTACACCCTGGGCAGTCGCAGCAGATGCGTCGTCGTAGAACCAGTAAGTAAGCAGGAAGATTAGCAGTAGCAGTAGTCGAAGAAGAAGGGCATCATGTATGGATCACAATCCTCTCCCAGATGCGCTAAGCCCTGGATGCAATCCCTGGCGGTCCCAGGACGACTCACCAGAGCGATGTGGCGACACATGGGAGCAAGCTCGAGAGGAGAACTGTTTTGCTATTTTTTCGGAAAGTAAGGGTTCTTCAGGGTTCAAAGCTTGTTTAGGGTGTGTCAGATTCTATATGGAACTGCCCCAAGAGAGGCTCTGTACGTTGACTGGGCTTGAGGCCGAGGTTTACAGGCTGTTTTTGGGCGTTGGGTCTGGCAGTCATGCGGCTCATAAGGCCAAGGTTTTGCGGCACGGCTCATAGATTGGCTACATTTGGCTACCCACTATTTTCCAAGGCCTCAGGGGCATGTGAGAGCGAGTTTCCACCCTCAGCCCTGAACCACATCAGGTTCATGGCTTCTCATTCTGGACCCAGGACCCATGGCTTTCCAAGCACTTGCTTGAAGAGGAGTTTACACGACGAGGCGCTTGAAAACGGAAACCAGGAAGTCTTATTAAAGCCAATCTAGCCCACGGTGCACCTTGTTGTCAGGAGACAGGGCTCCAGCTGATTGGTGAGATCGCGCCGGAAGATGCAGGTTGGGAGCCCTAAGTGAAAGCCGAAGCCGTTCGGGAAGCGACTTTTGCCAAACCCGATCTGGCTGGTGGCTCTTTGATATCTGGCTTTCCGAGGCTTACTGGCTTTGAGACTAACGGATTCCTGGCTTGTTGGTAGTCAAGATCATAAGTGGGCACTTGGCAATGTTGACATGTAAGGCTACATACCAGCATGCCAAAGCCTAAACTCGCTTGAATTCAACACAGAAGATAAACAGGAACGCCGAGCAGTATCTCGTGTGCAATGCAAGCCCTTTACTGTCCATTGTTGGTGGAGTAGGGTCTTTGCTTTGCAATGTTTGGGCGACGGGCGCCCACAGGGGGGCATGGAAGGGGCAAGCCGGCCACTCTCAGATGAGCTGACTAACCTCGATGCACCCAACCCCGAACCCAGAATTCTTTGGGCTCCCAAGCCCTCACCCTATCTTGCTCAGAATGGGAGTACATCCTCCTGGATGAATCGCGTCGCTCCTATGCAGCCTTCCTGCAGTCACTCGGCCGCAGGTCTGGGTTTGAGTTTGGGGCCAGTGTTTGCGGCTTTCGTGCTCTGGCAGCTGCCACGATGCACACAAAGCCCTGGGCCATGAAGTAAGGCCGAGAGCCGTGCAAGACTTTGGGTTTGGGATTTCGGGACTCTCAACTCCATGACCTCAAGCTTGTAGCCCAGCCATTGATCGTATCCGCAAACCTCCCAGTACCTGCTGACGTCGAAAGCGGCTCAGGGCTGTTTCGAGTTTAGCACATCTACAGGGTTGGCATATCGGCGCACGTTGTTTAACGCAAGCTTTGTCAGACTTTTCAAGCCGGAACGAACGTAAAACCCCAAGCATCAATCCGCAAGCAATCTAGCAAGTCCCTTCACGTGGCTGCCTAGGTGCCCCTTTGATGAAGCTCAATGCGCAAGCTTCTTTCAAAGAGTAAAGGACGGGAGCTCATTCTAAAATACTATACCAAAACTGTCACATTTCCTTGTTTGGTCCTTACTTGCGGCTCGGGGTCCGCAACTAAGGCTAGACGAATCAGAAGTAGAGATAAGATTCGTTCCGACGGCCTGAATCATGACAGCACAGTTGAAGTTAGTAGGAATATTGTCTGTTCTTCAACACGGTCTCAATAGCAGCGGGAACAATGAGTACCATATCCTGTTGACCAAATGGTTCGGCCGCCAGTTGAGGGTTTGGTCTTTTGGGTTCAGGGCCTCGCAACCGTGCAACAGGTTTAGGACTTCGGCTGCAATTTCAGGTTCAGCCTGAGATACGAGGTTTAGCATGAGGGGGTCTGGAGTTCTTTGTCTGTCGCTACGACAGAGCAAAACCTTTTTTGATTCTGGTGAAGAAACCGAGGAGATCCCTGGCTTCCCGCATAGAGTTAACCCGAGCCCTTTTTTCTTGGTTGTTTGTTGGAGCTAGAGGAATCGTCTCATGTCTTCTCAAGGGATGGAGAAGCTGTCATGTTCCGCGTCACAAGGTAGAGGAGCTCTCCTACGTCTCGTTTCGGGATGAAGAAGCGTCGTCATATTTCTTCGAGAAAGTATCAAGGGCTGTCGTAGCCCTTGTTGAAGAACACACGACCCGATAAGTGCTTGAAAAAGAGGTAAGGGAGCCCTCTTGTTCCTCATTAAAGGCACCGGGGTTCTTGTGCTTCTGATTGACAAGCGCAGGAGTTCTTAGAATCCCGTCTTATCATTTACAAAGGCCTCCCTAGCTTCCTTCTCAAGCCACTTTGTGTGAAGAGATAGACGAGTTCTCTTGTTTCATTTTCGGTGAATCAAGTTTTATTGCGGCAAGTTTCAATTCTCTCGATCTGTGCAAGCTCGTGTACCTCATCAGACAAAAGCGTATTTATTGAAAAGATCAGCTGTTTTGAGAAGAAAAGTACGGAAGCACTACTGTTCTTCCCAGGAGATGATACGATGTTGTCTTATTGAGCAATCAGTGCGCTGAAGACTGCGACCCTGAATCCCCCGACCCTTGCAGCTGAGCTCTGAAACTCGGCAGGAGGGAACCGAGTGGAAGCAACCCGAGAATGTTTTCGGAAAGCTGGTCCCTCGACAGACGGCAGCCTGGCATGAGAAGATTCAGATTTGCGGGCGCTTAGGGTATTGGGGCTAGCAAGTGATGCGCAGGTGGCTCTAAAGCAGAATGTGCTTGGAGATAGACTTTGTTTTAGGCATCTCCTTCTGAACAGACACCGACAGCACTTGTAATCTAGAGTATGTGGCCTTCAGAAGGTTTTTCCGAAAGTTGCTGAAACATGGGTGACAGGGCGACAGTTCAGTGCGTTGGATGGCTTGGCACAACCAGTTCTCCCATTGTCCGAGGCTCGAAATTCAAAGCGGGTTAAAGCCTACACCCTGCTCTCTGATCCACTAAACCTTGAAGCCCGGAGCCTCCGTGGGCTCGCATGAGAAGAGGGCCAAATCCTTTCTCTAAGCCGCAAGCTTTTTTCTGAGGCTTGGATGACGAAGAAAGGCCGGACCCCGGTCAGAGGATCTCTGGTTCAGCCTAAGACGGTGTCGTCCGAGAGTTTTCCGGGAGAAACCCCTAAAAACCCTGAATTCTACTCCCTACTCTGGAATATCCGAGATGCAGCAGATGCAGCTGCAGCCCGAAATGAAATTGCCGAGCCCGAGTGCTATGCCCACCGAACGCATAGCGGGTCCAAGCAACCAGCTGCGTTCCACCCTGGCGGTCCTGAGAGGAAGGCTCAACATTCAAGATCTTGGATTCCGAGGTCATCATGTTGGCTGGTATATAAACCAGAGTGAACCTTCTACGGACAGCCTGATGAAAACTCGTTTGGGCTGCGCACAGCTGGGGCACATCGGTCTGTGAGTCGAGTGGAAGATACACATAAACTCTGTATTTCCAGTATGAAAGGTTTCGGGGTGGGGCTTGAGCCCCCTGCTCTATACCCTTCACCGGGATCCTACTTCTGACATCGCACAGAGTTCCGGTGTTTGGGGTAGGAAATTGAAGCGAAAGGGGGTGCTTCCCACCGGAAAGGTGGAGTTTGTCATGCAGCCAGTAGGTGCCACCTGACCCTCTCCGACTGAAGTTCGACCCCCCAAGCGAACGGCAGACAGTAATAAAAAACCCTAAATTCTAAACCTGAAACCCTAAATTCCCCTACCCGCGAAGAACTCCCGGAAACTTTATGGTCTGAAGCCCCACGGTTCCTAAAGCCGCTGAAGCATAGGCCCAACTTTAGCCCAGGAAGCCCTGAGTCAGAATCCAAACCATGTGTTGTTCGTAAATTCGGTCCCTGGGAAATTGCGGGGGCTATTTTCCTCCTGTTGGCAGAGTTATTCAACCAGGCACCTGACGCAGAACACGTCTCGAGGAGAGCCCCCAAACGTGAAAGGCCTCCTTACACAGGAGCCAACTTCGCAACCTGAGGCATAGACCGTAAAAGCCACGTATCAATCTTCGACCTGAAATCGCCTGCAGCCCCTCTAAACTCTAAACCTTCAACACTGAACCCTCAATTGAAAGCCATAAGTCCTCAACTGTAAACCCTTAACCCTAGACCCTAATCTGCAAGCCATAAATTCCGAGATCTCCATGGAGAGGCTGCAAGTGCACCTACCGCTACGGAGGCATCGAGGTCGAAGCCCAGGAGTTTCCTCCGCAGCTTGGTCTGCTTTAGGATTCCGGTTGTTGGGTCTTACGTTTTTTCGGGTGTAGGTTTTGGGGCTTTATGGTTTCAGGGCTTCGGGTTTCGCAATTATTCTTCCAGACTTTTGGTTTTTAGCTTTTTTTGGGCGCCTGAGCTTTTGGGTTGCGAGTTCATGAAAGCCAGGGGTAGGAGGATCGATTGTCTCGGAAGTGTGCTCTTGCAAGCTATCCTCCGCAGTCTAAACCCTAAACCCTAAGCCCTTAAACCCTAAACCATAAACCTATACTGCATTGCAGTTGGAAAAGGGCCCATAGCAAAAAAAAACCCTAAACCCTAAACATCTCTAAACCCTAAGCCCTAAACCCTAAACCCTACTCTAAACCCTAAGCCCTAAACCCTAAACCCTAAACCCTAACAGTAGAGCCCAGACTCGACTAGGCCCCGGGTCGACCTTGAGCAGTCAGGCCTCCTACCCGGAAGATCAAGCCCTTGCAGCCCGAGACAGACCTAAACCCAGATACTATAGTATGCTAGAACATACTATCACATACTCTCATATACTATCATGAATTATCATATACTATCATATACTATAATATATTATATTATAATATGCTATATTACACTATGGTAGACTATAATATACTCTAATATGCTATCATATACAACAAAATACTCTAATATAATGCCCTAGAGCATTCAACTCCACAGTTCACAGCTTCGGGTCGTGCCCAGGTTCATGATTGAGCTCCTACGAGCTTCCATGTGCCCGGGAGTGCTCAATGTTCAGAGGGTGTCGGTTTGGGGTTTAGGGTTTAGGGGTTTAGGGTTTAGGGTTTAGGGTTTGGGGTTTAGGGGAGCTTAAGGCCAAGCTTAATCTAAGAGGTGAGGTACACGAGGCTTGCTCTGTATTTTGGATGCCTGTCAGTGCGTCAAGGATCTGATCTACCCTAGTCTGTCAGGGTATTCCCGCTGGTTGCGGATTGATTGGCTCCGAGCTGCCCACTTGTGCAAAGTACTTGAGCCCGTGCTTAAAACTTAATATCGCAAGCCCGAGCTTTTTCGTGAGGGCTCGAGGCTTTGTCTGACACGAGACCTGGGTTCGCACTATGTCTTTTAGATGGCTAGTGTAGTTGTTGCTATATGTTGGCAGTTATGAAGTCATAGAAGCCCTTCCGGCCCATCAGGCTACGAGGAAAAGAACCCATAAAAACGTAGTTAAACCATAACGGTAGAGCACTAAAGCGCAACCGACAAGCGCCGAACCCAAACCCTCACAGTACCTTCCTGGAACGTACAAATCCAGCATCCCGGAATGACGACAAGCCCCCACGGCTGCCTCTAGAACCCGTGAGGCTTCTGAAGACAAAAGTTCCAGACACGACATTCCGGTAAGGCGACCGAAAAAGCTCACCACTGCGCAGAGTGCCCACATACCGCCTGAGGCACTACTGCGGCATTACCAACGAAAGAGACTGGCCTGACTCCTGCAATCTCAACTACTACGAGGTGCAACTTCAGGGTCTAGCGATGTCAGGTGTTTTGGCACGTTTTCAGGGATGGCAGTGCATTTTGGGGATTGGGATATCCAGGTTCAGGCGTGAGTTTCAAGCGTAAAGGGCTTCAGATTGAGAAGCTTAAGGCATAGGATGAAGATAAGCCTGTAAAGCCCGCAGAAACCGTGCACCGTACATCTCTCGCGGCAAACAGAATTCAGGGTCCTGTAGGGTTTTTAGAGATTTCGGGTGCTGTCTAGGGTTGTTGAGACTTGGAGTCTTGCGACATATGTTTCTGTCGCTTGAGCGTTCAAACGTGGGGTGATGAAGTAAATCAGGGCTGCGGTTTTAGCTTGCGTGGATGGCAGCGGATTGTCGTTTCGGCACATTAGACGAAACCTCCGGGTCAAAGTCCTAAAGCGAAAGCTGACCTTAACTCAGACGCCGGGACCTCAGGCAGGCAAGCCCAGAAACGGGGCCCTTAATCCTAAACCGTACAGTCCTGTACCCGAGACCTGAAGGTGCGTACCTTGAATTTACCTATCCAAGGACGTTCTGCTAGTGACACCAAATGTTCGACATGTCTGACGTCCCAATCGTGTCACCAAGGGTTTTGGAGTATGTAGACCACTGCCCACTGCAGATTTTTTCCTCGCCCCGGAAACGCTGAACCCTCTTCAACCCTAATATAGGGGCCTTGGGTATGTACATGTAGAAGGCTGGGGACGTTATTCTCCCACTGAATAGGGGCCTTAATAATTACCTATACTATTTTGGGGCTTCCTTATGGTAATTATGGTATAATATACCCCAAGACCCTATTCTAATTATTAAGGCCCCCTATATTATGTTCGAAAGGATGGTGGAGCTTCGGTCGGCTGGCACGCAGACGACGAGTCTCTCTTCCAAGGGAAGCACCAGGATATCCGCGACCTGAGAGAAGTTTAGTTCAAAGGTTTCTTGTTGCCTGAGGCTCCCTTATTGCTTGCAGAATTTCAGATTTCAACACCAAGCTCAAAATTCGACAGACCTCATAGTACCCTAAACCCTAAACCCTAAACCCTGTCCTTATGAGTTACCTGCATAGTACAAGCCGAAGCCAGGCCCCAAGCCGATAAGCGCCCAGATGCTGCAGTGTCAATCCTCAAGCCTGAAACCCAAATCCCGAACCACCAAGCCATGAATTCTAGATCTTGCCTTAGAGAGTCGACGTGCAGGTTTCGAGTTTCCGCGGTTTCAACAGTCGGACTTTCGAGTTTCAGGTTGAGGGCGCAGGGTTTTTGATTCTGGCTCACGACTTTAGGGCGACTCAAGCCGATCCGGGCTGTATCCCAGCCAACCCACCCGAGGTTCGCCGTGCTTTCGACGTTGGGCTTTTCGCGTTTACCACACCTCCCAGAAATGCCAGGAGCAGAAGTCGGCAAACCACTACCTGTGATTGCAGCGCGTGCATTTCTTGCGCCGATACAAAAGCTCCAATGATGCGGGGTTTGCAAAGCTGATAAAGCAATACAATGTCGTACAACGAGTAGAATGAGCTCATGAAGGGAATGGGCTTCGAGTGCGATGGCCGTGTACCAAGCAAGATTTATCCCCACAGCCCATTCCAAGGCATCGTGTCGCTCTCCTTTGGGCAATCCCGGACCTTCGAGCTCCGCCGGAACTGGCCAGAGGCATGTAGGGTTTCAGGTGTATGGTTGGCTCCCAGAGAGTGTTTTGATGGGTTCGCGTCCGGGGGGCTGTTGAAAGGATTGCTCCTTGTGGGGGGTTGCGGGTTCCCAGCTTACGGATCTTAAGGGCTGCGGATTTGGTGGTTAAGGGTGTCTTAAGATTTGAGATGGCTCACGAAAGCATTGCGAAGGGTTTCAGTGGGGTGGTTTGGATGGCATGATTTTACGATGTTGACGTGATGATGATGTTGATGTGAGGTTCAGTCTCCTGGATTGTCGTGAGGTTGCGAGCCACGATGTGGGAGGAAGTAGCAGTAGTAGCAGTGGTAGGGCTAGTGGTAGTGGTAGTGCTGGTGGTCTGGTCGTGGTCGTGGGCGTGGTAGTGGTAGTGATACCTGATGATAGTAGCAGATGCAGTAGTAGTCGTCGTCGTAGTCGTCAGTAGTAGCCATCGTCGTTGTCATCGTAGTGTCGTGGCAAGTAGTACTCGTAGCGGCAGTAGCAGCAGTGGCACCAGTGCGAGCTGTAGCAACAGAAACAGCAGCAGAAGCGAAATTACAATCACTGCCAACGCAGTAACTCGCAGTATACCAGGGCGATGAGCTGGGTGTGGAGAGGATCGTGCAACTAGACCTGCATTGAGAAGCGAGAGCCGACATGGCGAGATTCCTTTTGTAGTGTTGACGATTGAATATGCCGAACATGCCGACTCCGGTTTTGGTTTTGGCGCACCTCAGGTGGCATGAAAACGGTGAAACGGTACATTCGGTACATCGTCACCTAGCAAAGGGTATCGGATTGAATTTCCCGCTTGTGCGGATGGCTTTTCTCGAGAGCTTCAGCTTAAGCAGCTTCCCAATCTTCAAAAACTAGTATGTCAAGTGGTGGTGTCGCAAGTACTGGGAAGGCCGAGCGGGTCCATTCGCCACGCCTGGGTTGAAGCAAATCTGTTCAGGACGTTGAACCGAACAGCAGCAACATTTCACTAGTACTACTGTCGTTTGTCCAACGAGAGTAGCTGCAGCAAAGGTAGGATTCCTAGTTGCAGAGGGTTATCATACTTTGGTGCGGGGTTCCTATTGCCGGCAATACCGATATTGGTCACCCTAATTGTGTACCAACCAGAAGCCTAATCCTAGCTGAAGCCTTCGCCAATTCTACATGCGAGACCTGCCCACACATGCCATGGAGCAACTATTCGACATCAAGGAACCAACGAAATCGCGGCCCACCGAGGTTAAGCAACGGCGACCTGATGACCATGGAAGGCATGTGGCCAGTTTCGGGTTCAGGCGGTAGGACCTTTTCGGACGTTCGTGAGTGCCTGAACGCCCTGACAGGCATGACGCAGAAGCACTTCCAACACCGGGTGCCCAAAGAGCGCTGTGAAGGGCCGAGGATAAATCTCACGTGGTGCCTGGCCTCGAAATTCATCGGGTTCGCGGTGCAGGGATTGGTTGTTCAGGCCTGCGGCTTCGGGTGTTGAAGCTGTGGGGTTTGGGTGACCAGGGCTTTTGGACCTTAAGCTTTTTGAGATATTGGCTTAAGGCTCAGGGCTGAGGGTTGATGTGTTTAGGTCTTCGGAGCAAGATCGGTACCGCGACCCGGGTTTGACCGGCTCGCAACAGCACGATGCATCGCCATCTGTCGCCAGATAGCACGTGTTGTGATGTTTGATCTGCAGCTGTCGGTCGAGTCCTTGCTGAAATGCGCCTGAAACTTCCTTTGCGGACCAGTGCAAGAGGCAAGGTGCACGATGCAAGACTTTAAGCTCCAAAGCCCCAGTGTCCCGTGTTGCCTTCATCACGTGGATGATGCCAGCATCCCGATCAGCTTCTTGGAACAGCATTGATTGCTCCTGCTAGGGAGACATCGAGTTGCCAGTGCAAGTCAGGGAGCAAGTCAGGGATTCAGCATTTCTTCCCTTAAAAGCGTGGCGGTCTGCGTTGTCACTGCTGGCCTGCCAAGGTTTCAAGTCCGTCGCTGAGGACTATGTGTTGCCTGGTCTTGTGGCTGGTTGTGGCAGACACTGTCCTGGCGACATCAACCGGTGATGCAGCGGCAAGCCATCCAATGATTGATGCATTCGTGGCTGCTGGCTTCGGCACCACGCCTCTGTGGCTTTCAGATTTGAAGCTCATGTCAGAGTGTGGCCAAACATCGGCAGAATCCCCAAAGGCGGATGAACTCATACCTGGCATTGTCGACAAAGCCTTAGCAAGCGCCCAAACTGACCATGGTCGCATCCTGGAATACGTGGACGAGGATATGCAGATTGGCGACAACCAAGGTATGAGTGTGCGCGGGGCGACCATCACATGCTTCGTTGCAAGCTCGCTGGCTGATAGCACCTTTGGCCCTGCGTCGTATGCAGCACATGTTGCTGCTTACGCTCCCCGCGGATACCGCTCAGAGCTCCCTGCAGATCCCCGGCTGGGACCCAACATGTCCTTGCTGGTTGAAGCCGATGTCATGGAAATGCCAGTCAAAGGCGCGCTCTTCACACCTCGCCACTACTGTTTCGACTTTGCCAGTGATGACATCCAGGCTGTGGAGCCTTCCTTTGATGGCTTCATCTCGAGATTCGCAAAGGCAGTCAGAAAGATACCTGTCAGGTACGGGCGAGGGCTTCAGAGCGTTACTGCCCGGTCAAACCGCTTGGTCCCTACGCCCAGCCAGTCTCGAAGCAGGCGCAGGCCAAGCCACATGTTCATGCGGGATGCATTTCGTGACCCCAAAGCCGAACTCCTCCACCTCATTGAGAAGGCGCACAACAGCACCTGTAGCCACGAATGCTCCACTCACATGTGCAACTGCTTGTTCCAAGATCTGAACTGCAGCCAAGATGACCTGCTGGAGGCGTTTGAGGCGTTCGATGAGCGTCCTTGCACAGCCACTGCGCAAAGTTTTTTGCAGTTCCTGTGGCTGCAGCAGGTGATCGAACACCACATGCACGCAAACGAGCACCTAGTTAATGCTGATATTTTGAGCTGGCCTTTTGTGCTATCTCCGTCAATCGCAGCAAGTGGCAAGACCTACCAGTATGGCCCCGTGAGTGTGGGGCAGTGGAACCCATTCAGCGGACAGAATGAGTCGAAAGCACCTGACCTGACACGTTTGATGCAGCTCACAGCTGCATTTGCAACAGTTCGAACTTGGATTGCGACGACACCGTGCTCGTCGCCAGAGCAAGCGCCTTCGCTGGTGCGGTTCAGCGGCGCCTGCATGAGCATACCGGCACTCCAACGACTCCATGGTGGCGTTCCCCGTACATTTGGCCACTTGCTTTTCTTCAGGCCAACAGAAAGTACTTTGAGGAGCATTGGGAATCGGGCACAGGGATGCACATGGCAGTCCTTGCCGCTGGAAACTTGACGCAGAAACAGGTCGGAAGGACGGCTGATTAGTTGATGGTGACAGAGTTTGACAATCCTGGCCCCTTGAAGGAGCTCATGGTTGCACAGTACGACTCAGCGCATGAAGTCTACGACAGAGCTGCAGAACAAGCGGATGCTGAGTCCCCCTGTTCGGATGCTGGGTAATTGTTAAGGAACTTGAGTTAAGTTACCATAGTCTGAATACATGGTAAATGATCTATAACAGTGTAGATTTCTCGATGACGGTAACTTAGTTTGAGTTTCAAGTCAGGATGTCACAAGTGATACCGATCTGCTGATCATGGTGGGAGCCATGGCTGCAGCAGCCTGTGGTGGCAGTCAGGCCATTGCGCAGTCAATGCACACGACCCTCCGCTGGATTTGCTTAGCTTGGATGGGGGGCCGGAAAGCTAAGCTAAGCCTGCCAGCGGATGTCGGCGCTTCCTGCCCTCCTACGAATTGTGTCTTACTGCACTTTGGTTTGCTGCCTCCGTCCTTTGCTACTATCCTGCTCTCGATCAACTTCAAAAGGAAAAGGCCGTGGCTCAATTCAGTCACAGCAGTGTGGACATGGTGGCGCGCTATGGAGGATGGGAGAGCACCGGCGCTGATCATGGAGGGAGACCAGTACTCGTCACGCTCGTGCATGCAGTGTCGCAGTGCGAAGGGCATCGGTTGAGTTTGATAGCATGCTTGTTTGCTGCTGGGGTTCTCTTTGGGCTCCTCGCGAACATTCCTTTCTTCTTCCGTGCCCGAGCTGCCTTGAAGCGGTACGTACACGGGATTTTGTTGAAGGAGCGCGAGACTGCCAAAGATACCTGGGTCACGGATGAAAAGCTTGCCTTATTCGATAGCTCTCCTCCACTCGTGTCAGTTGACCCGGCTGCGCCGACTAGTTTACAACCAGTGGTGCCACCTGGACCTGGGGGCACGCTAGCACGAGACGAAGAGGCTGGAACCAAAGCCGCGAGCCCTGTGGCACGCAGCAGCACACGTTGATAAAGACTGAGATTCATGCGAGTGCCTAGGCTTGTACAGGAGACCGATGGGGGCTCACCGGATAGTTTTTCTTTAGAATTTAGAAGGCAAAGCCCTCCGTTTGTTCACAGACGTATTGAGGTACTTAGACAGCACTGGTCAGTAGCACCAGTTGTTCCATATTGGTACGTTTTGCAACGTCTTCAACAGGCAAGGGGATTCTGTCCAGGACATCTGAAACTTCCTCATTGCTTATGCACCGTTTTGGTTATCTGCAATGTTGACGTCAGTGGTCCAGATTGGCATGGCTCTTGTGCTAAGGATAAAAGCGCATGGCAGAGGTTGTGGAGGTGCGTAGGTTCCCATTGCAGACGGCTTGTTTTGCAGGTGGATGGCATCAGGACCCTATAAAGCCTACTACGCCCTCCCGAGCTGGATCTCCTTTTCAAGTCTTTTCATTAAGACTGACAGATTTTCTTTCTGCTCTGAGGCATGCCTCCGAACAGCAGAACTGAGCCCAACTAAACCCGCGAACTCCTAACCACCCAAACCAGCACCCCAAGTACCCATGGACCCCTAGACTCTAGACTCTAGACCCATTGTGAACGTATCATTCGGCCCGAGGGCTAGTCCTCCGAACCCAGACATCCTGACGTGACTCTAGGTTTTGTGGTTTTCCGGGTTGAGGTTTCATGGGCCGCAGCGATGTACGGATTACAGCCAGGAGCTCTGCTTGTGAAGCTCTTTGGAGAATAGACCCCAAAGCCTACATCAAGCTCTAGATTCCGACAAGAAGCTTTCAGCTGAGGAGATGGGTCCGCAAGCATCATCCCAAATGTCCGCTTGCTCGCAATCGGCGATAGGCCGGAGCACCCCGGGCCCGAAACTCTCAAGCCTGAAACCCCAAAGCCTCCAGGCTCCGCAGCCTAGACCCCTACAGCCCCACGACACGCAACAGCCACAACGTGCCCGCTGAACCGCGGGCAGTCTGGTTGGCGGTACAGGATTCGATTTAAAGTGTATATCAGCGTTTATTCGGCTTTCAATTTTGGATGATGTGCTCAAGCAAAGGACGACTGGAAAGTATCTTTCTAGGTACAGTAGACACAAGCTTTGGAAGACGTAAAGTGCGGCTCGCCAATCACCTTGAGCCCCAAGCCCTGAAGCCCTGTAGGATATCGAATCCCCAAGCCCAAAAGATGCGTGCTGGACGATGATCGAAAAAACCCAGCGCCTCACCCAAAGAGCCCGAAACCTGGAAGTGAAACGGGCTTCAGGTTCTAGCAGAAGGCAAGAGCAAATCACCAGAAGCATCACATCTGTGGGAAGACATGCCGCTAGAAGGCGAGTTCTGTAGCTTTAAATTCAGAGCATGCTTGGGTTCATGTGTTTGCCCTAAAGTAGGGGCATAGTTATGAAATTTTTAGACGACAAGGCGTGTGCTGTGTCATTGCCAAGTTCCAGAGTCTATCTACTACAGTCTGCGGTTCCTGCAGATGAGAAGCTCCAATACCCTGAGGGCTTCGTTAGCTGGTCTTCCAGCTTTGGGACCGCGGCCTGTGGGTTCAGGCATCCATGAACCTCGAGGTTTAGGGTTTAGGGTTTAGGGTTTAGGGTTTAGGGTTTAGGGTTTAGGGAAACCTTACCGAAGTCTGAACGAAGCCGCCTGCTGCAGGTGGAGGGCTCCTACGTGGCCATAAGACGATGAGTTCCTGCCAAGCATTTGAGAGTGTCACGCTACACCATGGACACCCTACTATACCGACCCTAAGTCCTGCAGCCTAAAAAGTTGTCCATGCTTGGAAATGCTAATCAGAGTAGCATTGACAGGATCTCGCGCGACGAACTTGCCGATGTGCGGCGAGAGCTTGTTTCGATAGCAAATTCGGATGTCGCAGAGTTCCGGCCTCACACACGCAACCCGAAACTCGAAGTTTCGAAGATGCCATAATTCTAAGTTGCAAGCTCCTAGAGACCAGATGAGACCAGCTCAAACATAATACACGGAGCCGTTTCTGTTAGTCATCCCCACAAGACCCGGAAACCCTCCGACGCCCACCAATTGGGCCGCTTCCCACGGCAGTTTCAGGCCGCTCGCGGGCGCACTATAAACACGAAGCCCTCCGAATCCGCAGCTGAAGCCTCAACACCAAACCCGAACGGCCAGACGCCCTACTCTGAGAAGCATCCGACTAGGAGGATGGTTCCCGCTTCAGAGATGCGAGTGGAACACTTCGGAGCTCAAGTTTTGGGTGTGTGGGCTTCATCCTAGTGTACGGGCTGTTTGGAACGGTTAGGATTTGAGATGCGCCGATTTCGTGACTTGCGAAGCTTTCCAGTTTTAACGAAATCCCTATGGACACGGTGCAGGGTTTGGGGCTTTGAATTCGACGTTTAGGATAGGGGGATTTAGAGAAGTTGGCACCCGGAGAAGCAGCGGGAACCCTCCTGTTCAACTCTTTGAAACGTGGGTTCAAGCGCGCGGTCGGCACTGCTTGCGAGCCCTGAACTACGAACTTTCAAACCATGTAGCCATATACGTAAGCTTGAATCCCGAAAGGCTTAGACCCTGCAGCCGAAAAAGCCCTTGCCCTAAAACCTCCTAGCCCCGAAGCCGTCAACCCTGCAACCCAAATGCTTCAACTCCGCACCGTGGTTGCGTAAGCCCCTGCGAAGCCAGAAAGCCGCACGCAATAAAACTCAGTTCCCTAAACCCCAAAAATGCCCCTAACTGAGAGCCCAACTATGCAGGGACGTAAACTGTCAAGCACACGATCGTAAATCCTGAGCCCTGAACCCTCATTGCCGACGCACGCAGTGCCTTCCGATGTAGCAGATCGTGCTCGGCCCGTTTCGTCGGAAAACTGTTGTTCGAGCATTTAGTTAAATGTCGGGATTGAAGGGCGATGATCCTTCACCCGTCGAAATCATCAGTGGTACCATAATGGGTCCATATTGCAGAACCACCCCATTTCGGGTTTGGGTTGCTTCATCGGGATCCTTTTCAAGCTGGCTCGTCGAGTTTAGTCTAGTCTTCAGTCTCGGGGTTTCTGTTTGTCGTGTTGTACATCCACTGTTTAGAGCTCTTCTATCTGCAGGCCCCGACCCCGCCAAAAGAGACGAGCCCTGAAATGGTTAGACCTTGGGATGTCCGCCTCCCTCCCGAAGACCGGCATCTCAGAAAGCAGGGTGTGGGTTTCGTCACTTCCAATGTCCAAGCACGAGATCCCGAAACTCCTGGAAAGCCAGAGTCTGCTTCAATGGGTACCGCCGGTCTAGAGTCGAGAGTCGAGCGTAAAGCTTAGGGCTGAGGGCTTAGTATTTGGGGCACAAGCTGGCGGCAGAGCACACCGTGTGGTGTTTGGGGCTTATTGGTCTATGTTTGGGGTTCCAGCGCATCTCGGCAACTTCTCGTGAATACATCGCAGGCTTGAAGCTTGACGGAGAATCGAGGATTGAGAGTTTAGGTTGCAGTGCTGAGCCGTATCCCTAAACCCCGAATCCTAAACCCTTCAAAACTTTAAGCCCTAACCCCTGAATTCTAAAGCTGAGAGAGGCCGGTAAATGGCTCATGCACCCCCCTCAGCGTGACACCCCACCTTCTGAGCTGGGAGCCTAGTTTTGGTGAATGGTTTGGGTTTGGGGCCTTACAGGTTTGAGGATTCTTCCGAGTTTAGCCGAGCCATGGCCCGACCCTGGCTGCTGTGCACCTGGCTGCTCCCCTTCCTGCTGGCAGCACCAGGGCTCCGCGACTTTGAAACATGTAAGGCCTTCTACAGCTTTGATAGCAGGCTTTGGGGGCTCATGGCCTCCGGGTTTCGGGGCGATTTTCCCAGCTTCGACGCAGAGCAACAATCTTCGCAGGCTTCGAAGTCGACCCACAACCCTACACCCCTCACAGCCTCAGTTCGGAGGTTTAGGATTTTGGCCTTCGGACTGCGATGTTTTGGCGTGCTCTAGTGCAAAAATGTTGACTTCACACTTTGATCCCATCTTGTACTCCGTGCGAAATCCTGACTCCACGTTCCTTGACCAACGCCAGTAGTGTGTAATCCAAAACCCGAAATCCTGAACCTCGAGCCCGAAATCAATGGACCCAAGACTTTCTGCTATCTATCGACTAGTAGCACTATCATTCCAGGCTTTTGCTAGTAACCCTAAATCCGGTTGGTATCTTACCTAGACACCAGACCTGTAAACCCTTCAAACGCTGAGCAAATTTTCTAAGTCTTCCAGGACAGCTGCCGATGTGGAGGATGCCCCAGAGGCCAAGTTGGGGTTTATGTGGGCCTTATGGGTATTATTGTTATTACTACTTGAACGTTTTATTATTATTATTGTTATTGTTATTATTATTATTATTGTTATTATAGGGCTTTGAAGTTTTGGAGTTTGGGATGTTGAATTGAAGGTGGGTGTGGCCTTTCTGGTGGCTTAGCTGAGGTTTGTGCAAGATTTTATGGGTTGGCGTAGAGTTTCTATTGGGCTCCTCCGGGTTTCAAACTCAGGCTGTATCGTGCACAGGTCTGTCGAGGGTGTAGAGGGCCGGCTTATGCTTCTTGATACCCTGACATCGTGCCCATTGTGTTGAAGCTTTTGCTTAGGAGTTGTGCAGTGTCAAGCGCTTGAAGTGGTCAAGGTAGTGTGCCCGAAAGCCCCGAACCGACCAGACCCACAAACCTCAAATCCGAAAACCGCCCACGTCACGAAAGCTAGCCTCTGAGGCTAGCGGAGTTACGTACCCCAAGCGTCTGCTTCTATCAGGGGTATGGGGGACCCGGGGGGGGGGAAAGCCACGACAGGAGCCAATCGGCCCTGTTTGGCGAACCCGCCCCAGAGTTCAATTGAATGCGCAGTATAAAGGAGAAGCCAGGAGCCAACGATGCCCATGATGCGCAAGCGCTTCAAGAGAGTCGCACAGGGGCAAGGGGGCCTTTCAGGCTGCAGGGTTAGGGGGTCTGGGAATCTAAGCTCCGGACCTCACCGGTCAAACCCGGAGCGTGACAAATCGTAGATCCCAAGCGTTAACCCCGAACAGAACTCCATGTCCCAAAGCCGCAGGGAAGGCTTGAGGCTTCAGTCGGCTTACAGGGTACGAAGCAGGGTATCCTGTCCCAAGCGCGCAATTAGCCCCTCCAAAACCTTCGGAGGCCTGCGCCGGGGCCGAAAGCCCGGAGCTCTCCTTGCGGCAGCTCAGGGCCAGGCTTGGCAGCGGGTTCTGTGGCTTCTTAGGGAGTTTGGGCTCTGGGCAAGAGCGGCTGTGGGAGCTCAGCGTTCTTTCGGGTTTTGGGATCTGTAGGTGTTTAAGAGTCAAAGTCCAAGTGCCTTCTGACTCGGCTGTAGCATCTTGGAGTTCAGGATTTGGGCTCTTTACGGTTCGGCAAGGGGTCTTGCTTGAGGTTTGTAGAGGGGCTTGTAGCGTGCTCGTCTTGTCTGCGGAACCTACCTCTGGGCGTTGTTATTCGTGGACTAGTTTGCTTCTGCAGCAAATGCTTCGTTCGTGGTTCACTGCGGATAGTGGTGCTCAAGTTGTCTTTGCCGCCGAAACTTTATTAAAGCTTCAAGCCTAGTCTCGAGACAGTAAGTCTTGAAGTGTACTCGAAATCGTGGCGAAGCGTCTGCGGGGCTCCATGCAGAGAACCTTCCTTATGGTCAGCAACTTACACTCGAAGCGAGGGACAAACTAGCGGTCTGTAAAACCTTAGCGACTGCCGGGCAGGCGATTGAACGGCACAGAGTCGGCCTCTGCGGATAGCTTCTTCAAGGACAGCAAGAAGGCTTAGGGTTTCGGGCACAGGATTTAGGCTTCGGTGGTAGTCGTTGTTGTGAGACGTTCATCAAGATTTTCAAGATATCCATGAGA